AATTGGTAATTCTTTAATTAATATACTATCAAAATTTGTAAAAAAAAAACACACACACACATTAAAAAGTCCTATGTTAACAAAGAAAATTTTAGTTTTAAAAATATCCACCTCATTACTAAAATAATTTTAGAATTTTCATGTAATATTTTAGGTTTAAAAATTTTGCATTTTGGGTTCACTTAACGATCCGCGTCGACTGAAAATTAAAGATTAAGGATGATTTTGGTAGTTTTTGAAGTTTAAGTACCAACTCAGTCCAAAACTCAGAGAAAGGGACCGAAACAGGAATTTAACCTAAAATTTTTTCACCCATCGATGGTTCCTTTGAATCTCACAAAACTTAATCAACGGTTACCATAAATGCATCTTAAATCTTGGTTTTAATTAGAGTATCATTAGCTTTGTTGTGGACCCCATAATACAACATACGGATAAAAACTCCCTTCTTTACATTAAATTTTTTATCTTTTCTTGTTTCCTTTTTTTTTTTTTTTTCCATATGATATCACATTTATAATTAATCTCTCATCAACAGTTTTAGATGAATGAACATTTATAATCATTTATTTTTTAGGTTTTTGTTTTAATTATAATGAATCAACCACGTATACAAGAAAATTTATGTAAATGTCTTATCTCAGAAAAAATATATCAAAGAAAAAGTAAGGACTTTTCCTGCTTTTTCTCTCTTTGTATTGGCACTAGAAGAAGAAAAACTGATATCAAAATACAAAAATCAGGCTTTTCTTTTTCTGTTTCTTCCCACTAGATTCTTCAACGAGAGGAGCGCTACATTGCTGCGTATTCCTCATCCATATATATCCTCCATAATAAGAAAATAAAGGTAATGGGAAGCAAAAAGGCTTACTTCACTGAATTGCATGTAATCTATCAACAACAACAACCATCAACAAACAACCAATGGAAGTTGAATAGACAAATCTGAACCAGCGCTTCATTCCCATCATGAACAAGCATGTCTTCTGTCTCGATGAAGACCAGCCCCTACCTGATCAAGCATCAAGCGGGAACCGATGTTCTGGCCACTTGGGATATGCACGCTTGTATAGGCTCAAGCATATGGTGTCATGCTGCTGAAGGACCCCATTGAATACACATTTCATTATCCCTGAGAAAAATCAAAAAGTCAGTCCTTAACACATTGGGAGAGATTAACATAATCCTGACAATCATATATTCTTTATAGTCTATACCGTTCCCAATTTGTTTGCAGGTCAATCTTGTCTAGACAGAATTTAATATAAGGGCATTGATAGAAATCAAAAAAGAAGGAGAAATATTAGAAGAAAAGTTTATTGCTTTCTTGAATAATACTGTATGTACAATAATCTATATATAAGTGTTTACAAAAAGAATATTTTAAGGTATAAAGTATATAAAGAGAATATTTTAAGATATAAAGTATATAAAGAGAATATTTTAAGATATAAAGTATATAAAGAGAATATTTTAAAGTATAAAATATTTACAATAAATGTGAATATAATCTAAATTATT